TATTTGAACAAATAAGTGCTCACCTGCCGGCTGGTAACACTTCTTATACATGCACTTAGCGTGTGACAGGCGAGACCGTTGGAATTAGTTTTACCTGGCTGATTTGCCCTGCATTTGTCACAGGCTGAGAAGGGCTGCTGTGGATTAGCTGCTGTGTTGTACCTTACACCTCCATGGCAGCTTGTGTTTGTGTGTGTGCTCTCAGCTAGGAGTGTAGTTGTAACCATTATTTACTGTAATGTTTGATGTTAGTGTTAGACATAAAGAGAAGAAAAAGTAATCCTCTGGGCCTTACCTGAGGTGTAGAGATGCCAGCAACTGGAGGGGGGAAAAAAAAAAAAAAAAAGAAAAACAAGGGACTCCTGGAGGAAGAAGTACTATTTCAAAGACCTGTACAAAGCATATCCTTTCTAGCTTGCAGCTAGGCACGAGTACTGAACTGTTCACTTGTGGCTTATGGAGTTCCTGCTTTAAACTGATATGATATCAGTAGCAAAAACTTGTTGGTCTTTATTCAGAAATAGCCAGCAGATATTTGTTTAAACTGAGAGAATCTACTTTTGAAGCTAAGCTGCTTTTTGTTTGGTGCAGGTCGGTGGGTATAAAACTTAGAAACCTTGTTATAAAACATAAGTCTGTTCTCTGAGGATGTCCTTGGAGGATTCTTCTTCAATGCTGGGTATTGACTTACTGGCTAGACATTATAATGGGCAGTCTTGAAAGAATGAAGAAACTCCATACCTACATTGACATTGAACTAAGCAATGTGCTTTAAAACAGGATAAGGAAGACTTCTTCAGAACTGATCTGAGATCTTTAAATAAATATATGATTATCAAGGTTATTTGTATGAAGTTGAGATATATAAGTGTGTGTGTGTGTGTATATATATATATATAACTAAACTCAGATCTGGCTGGTGGTATTTTACTTGTGCCTTTAGTAATTCAAAGGGCCACGTGGTACCATTAAATGGTTTCAATGTGAACTTCTGATTGAGTAAGAATGTTAGAGGATTCAAAGTGCCAACCAGGCAGCGCAGCAGCTATTTATTTCCAAGTGCTGAACTTCTAAACTGTTGTAACTCTAGGGGAAGCGAAGGGAGAAAGCAAATAACTACTGAATTTGATACTGAAGCTTAACATAAAATTGGCATATATCAGTAAAAAAGTTGTGATGGCAGAAGAATTACTCCGCAGCATCCAGTCATTTTGCAACCTATAACATGAGTATTTACCTAAATGTTAGCCATCAGTAATGAAAATGTTTCCAAACTGTATTTCTACAGTCTTCCCTCAACCGATTAGGCAAAAGGATAGATTTATTTCAAAAATGACGAAGAAAAGTGGAATGAATGTCATCACCATGTAAATCTGCTGAAGCAGTGTCTTGTTGCTGTCCTGAACACTGTTACCTGCTGTAGTAGATCAGGCTGTTGTGTGCCTCTCCACTTGTTTGTTTACCGTTTTGTTTTGCTTCAGTATTCAAGCACATTTTGCCATTGGAAATCTTTATTTCTTAAAACCTAGAATGGGAATAAAAGAAGAGAGAATAAAGTAGTATCTGTCAGTTAGCTCTCATATTCTTACTTTGATCAGCAGAGAAGCACTGTGTGACCGTTAGCATATAAATAAATGAAAGGCTGAATTCAACGATTGAGGTATTCTCTATTCAATATGCTTGTGTAACACTTACTAAATTTGTTTTGGGCATTGTTAATACATTTAAGAATATTGTTAAGCTCTCTGTGTTTATTTGTTTATTCAGTAGGTGAGATACAGACCAGTAACTGTTTTGAGGACAAGAGTAATTAACTTTGCATGTACAGGAGCCTCTTGGGACAATTAAAACAGAAAGACAAGCAAAAGCTTGTCTTTTTCTCTAGGCGAAATGTGGAGTACTTATTCTGTGTCAGCACAAGGAGGACTTTATTAGTAGAAATGTAAGGTTTCCTGATCTGAGAAGTAATGTTTAAGAATGTGGGTATCTGAAAAAGGTACAGATGAGAAGGGTGCTTAGCATGTACACATGGTAAATGTAGACTTTAAGAATAGTGTGCACAACAAGGGGGCTTAATGTGTTAAAATATGGAATGAAACCTACTGTTTGTAGTTCCTGCAGTCATTGCAGACAGGGTGTTATCAATTGCTGTCATACTTGCCTGGGAACTCTGTGCAGTAGGAATGAGCCACTCCTGAGAAAATATCTCAGTTTTCTAAATCTTAAACACATCTGATAGCATCTTCTGTTCATAGAGACATGTATATCTTACAAGTAAAGAAATAGACTTGGAGTTATCTTCTGGAGTTATCTGCTAAGCTGTATGAGCGTGGAGCCAGATGATCACCACTGCCTGTGTGGAGGAGAGGCGCTAATCCAGTCTGGTGGATCTGCTTAGACCAGCACTTAGGCAAGTGCATCTGGGCAGCTAGAAGAGCATCCAGTTACTCATTTTAGATCAGGAATATGATTGTGTTTGTTTTGCCTCTGGCCTGTTTGCTGTCCTGCAATTAAAAACTCAACCTCAAATCTTTCTTAATTCTTTCCCTTTATTTTGCTGTTAAGCTTGTATAGTTTTGTGAGGGCAAGGCTCACTGGGGTGCAGAAGAGCACATTTGGTTTGTTAGCTTCCTTGGAAGTGGTGAATCCAAATAAAGTCCTGTGTGCTTTCTGCCGCTTGGGGCACTTTTCTTTCCCACAGTGCCTTGAGGACAGGCCATGCCACAAAGTGTTGAGTTTTGGGAAGGAGGTTTTCTACAAAGAGCAGACAGGTGAAAGATGCTGTGTGATTCTGAGTAAAATCAGGAAACAATGGTTGCACATGACGTTTTGGCTGGGAAAGTAAAATAATACCATGTTTAAGTAAGACGTGCTGTTGTTGACAGATATATTTTGAAATGAAGTGATGAAAGGAATCACCATACTTTTTCTGATGATACTAGGGATTGAATCTTGCTCCTGTAACGTATGTAATTTTTATTGGTGATCTGAAAGAAAACCACTTTCACCTTCTTGATGTCCTTTACTATCCCCTCCTGTAATAATTTATTCCATCAGAGACACAAGTTTTATGTTTCCTCTCATTTTCTAGCCGCTTTGCTTTTCTCGTGGCCCTGTCTCTTGGAAGATAGTTTTTTATTTTAGAGTGTTCTTTTCAGATGGCTGTTAAGGAACATGACATATGTAGATGAAAGTTTATTGGAAAACATGAGTCTTAATACCCTTATCATAAGAAAAGCTTTCATGTGCTTTGTTCTGTCTGTTAACCTCTGCTGGAAATGGGTATTTGGTAACAGAGGTCAATCATTCCGTTGCTGTCAGGTGTACGAAGATCTGGGATATAGAAAGCTGAGTCTAGATAGCTTCAGTCTAAAAATAATTTTTAAATGAGGATTGTTATCATGTCTTAATTTCTGGCACACTGTTGTTTATTCTGTATGGCTAAAGATGTTAAATCAAGGCAAGGTGTTTATTAAGAAGCAATAACATTTGCTCTTGTTCACCCACAGCAGTTAGTCTTAAGGTGGTGATAACTTATCATAGGTTTTTGTACCTTTAGAAGTTCTGAATCTCTTCTGTAGTTTTTGAGGATAAAAGACTTGGGAAAAGTTAGATGTTGGTTTTTGGTCTGTATATGTGAAGAGTCAACAATTTGGACCAGATAGTCGATCTTTGTTTTCACTTGTATAAGCTTAAAACAGTTTAGTCGTTAACAATTCAATACTTGAACAGTTATAAAATGTTTTGCAGTGAACTGATGTGAAGTTTGCTTCAGGTTTCATAGTATTTTTAAGAAGTGATAGAAACCAGAAGAATCCTTCAGAAGAACAATTAATTTAAGTCTCTTAAAAGCTGACTGGTGTTATTTTTGTCCTTCATCACAGGCAACAGCTTAAAGCATTTATTAGTAAATTTTATTATATTTAGGGTATTGACAGCACTTTCATTTATACCGTAACATCCATGACTTTGGAAATTATTTAAAATTATCTTTCTCACTATTATTTTAACAATTATAACATCTTTTGTAGTTGAAGAAAAACGAAATTCTAGTTGACAGAGCTATTACTGTTACAGTTATGATGACTTTTGTAGTTGAAGGAAAAAAAACCTGCAGTTGACAGCAATAAAATGTTTTGATAGCTTTGTTTTTAAAGTATGTATTATGTAAATATTGCAGGGGGATGTGTTTGGTTTTTTGAGAATCTAAAATTCTGAGAACAAAAAATGAAAATCAGACAGGCTATTTTTACTGGTTGAAAATACATGAAGCTAGAGCATGTTCTGAATTTGTAAATACAGAAAGTATATAATAAATTACTAATAGAATGGAAGGTTTTTTGGTCAAGTATTTGTAGCTTGTCTGTCTCAACAGGTAACAGATATGTTCTGAGTGCTGTAAAAGTAGCATTGCTTTAAAGTAAAGGAAAAGTCTTCCAAGTATTCTGCAGACTGCAACTGTGAACTGAATGGTAAAAACAACAGAAGAACAATATTTTCAGAAGTTCTTTTTTGGAGTAAGTTTATATATGTGATTCAACTTAAGAATAATAATTTAATTGCTGTTGTTCAACTTCCATGATGCACAACTGCCTTCTTTTCAGAGTTAAACATGCTATCTTTAATAGTGATGAAAGTTTATGTTAGATGTTCAAGGACTGGCTTCATTGTACTTTGCATTTCTATGTCGCCACTTGGATTATCATACCAGGGCAGTGCTCATTCCTGTCAAACAGCATCCACGAGGTCATAAAATGGAAAACTTAAGAATCTATTTTTTTAGCTGTGGTAATATTGTGGTGGAAAGTAGTGTGAATTCTGTTTGTTTAATATGCCTATTAACTGCAACCTCATCTTTTTGCCCAGAACTACCTTAGTTATGTGTTCTGTGAAATATTAGCATTTGATGTAGCGTGCAGTAGGTTAGCCTGCTCACTGAGTTCGTTCCTTTCAGAGGTGGTAGGGGAGTGATGGTGGTGATGACTGTTGTTTCATCTTAACAGGTGTGTGTTCCGAGGCGCCTGTGCATGAGGAGAAGTTTGTTCTATGGCCTCAGAGCTGGGTGCCAGGGAGGATGGCAGCTGCTCAGAGCTGGCAAAACCTCTTTATCTGCAATATTTGGAGAAAGCTCTGCAACTGGATCAGTTTTTACGACAGACGTCTGCCATCTTTAACAGGAGTATATCCAGGTACCAAAACCTTTTCCATTTTCCCTTGGGAATACCAAGGAAAGACAGCATTTTTATTAAGTCATTTCCAGGCAACACCATATTAAGGATTTAGTAGTGACTTGTTCATTATAAACTCTTCTCCTTTAAAGATTTTGGACTGTGCTTCTCTTAGCTCATGCTGATACTTCAGTGTGTTGCCAGCCCACAAATTAGCACAGTGTTTTAAAGCTCTTTTTCATAGCTGAGTGGCCAAAACTTTCTTTGTCTGCAAAAAGTAGGATGCGGAAGCACTAAGTTGATTTTTCAGGGGCATGGTCTATAGCCATCAGTGAAATGCAAAGACTGTTGTTAGATGCAGAATTTATATCTTAAGTTGTAGCAACGAGAAGAGAGCTATCAAGGTACGTTTCTGTTCCAAAACAATTTATGTTTAGTTTGATCAGTGTTTTGGAATTGTAGGATTACAGAACTGATTACTGTATGGGTAATAGATAGCAGGCATATTTTTCAAGCATGTAATAAGAACCACACAAGGAGTAGAAAACGTGTAGCTTTTCATTTCTCACATGTATGGTAGTGCCGAGGATGACAAAATTGTGCTTTGGTTTGACTTGATACTAATTTCTTGCTTAGTTCATGTTTCTTGAATTAGATACCTAGTTAAAGACTGAAGGTGCAGGTTGATAGCATAACCAGGCTGGTCTGATGATTAACTACTGCTGAGGATCTAATGGGAAATTATTAACAGCAATATCTCTGATGTGTAAAATTACATCTGAAGCTGTCTCCATTCTCAAACCTTTAGACAAGTGACCGCATGTAAGAAAGTTGCATGAGCGTCTCCTCTTTTGAATGTTTTTCTTCTATTGTCACCATATTGCATATCTTCTTGCAGCGATGAAAGTGAAGATGGATTGGATGACAATCCTTTGCTGCCTCAGTCTGGGGATCCCCTGATGCAAGTTAAGGAAGAGCCTCCAAACTCTTTGCTTGGGGAGTCTTCTGGAGCAGGGAATTCTGGGATGCTGAACACACATTCTCTGAATGGAGTACTGCAGCCAGGTAGGCAAGCACTAGGTTGATCTCTGCTTTCTTTAGGATAAGCTGGGTAAAGTTTTTTCTTAAGAACTTTGTTTTTTCTCCAAACAGAACCGAAGTCTGAAAAAGGGAGCTTGTATAACTTTTCCAAACTGAAGAAAAGCAGAAAGTGGCTGAAGGTAAGAATATTGGGAAGAAACACAGCTATTATGAAATCTGTGAGTAGAGTTCTGGTCAACACCCTGTAGACAGCGGTGAGTGATTCCGTCTTGTCATCCGACATAGATCGTTGTGTAGAAACATGTAAGCAAGCAGACGGCAACAAGAAAATAAGTTGAGCACTGGGTAGAGCATTATCAGAAATTACCACAAATATGGTTTCCAAATACAGTAAGTTTGTTCTCATGTCAGTAGTCCATTTAATTTTACTTTACATGTACTACTGAGAGCTCAGAAAGCTAGACTGATGTGTTTTAAGAGCTGCCCTAAATCATGTGATGCAATTTAATTGATGCAAAATCTCACACTGAGATTTGAGAGGCATAAGGTGATACAGAGATGTGGTAATACTTTGTTTTACTGAAAAGAGGGCTCCAGATGAATTCTTTAGTCTTGTTCTATACTGGTTTGTTGTTTGCTGCACAGGGTTTTTTTTGAGGTAACTGAAGCTAGTGTCCCTTGCTAAGAAGAAAGGAATGTTGAGTTTCTTTGGTTGTGGGTTGTTTTTTCTTTTTACATTAAGAAAAAACACTTACTAAAGCAAAAAATACATTCTACAGAGGCTTCTCATCTTGGAAATGGAAAGAAAAAAGAGTTTGTGACAGTCAGTAATGAATATTGTATTAGACTTTCGGTAGAACAAAACAGAATTATAGTCTCTCTAGATTTGAGGCTTTCATTTTCATTCTGTAGCAAAATGGAGAGTAGGTATTCCAGCTGTGGTGAGTAGCAGCATTTTAATTAAATTTCACAGTGAGTATATATTCAGAAACTTGAAGTACTTTTAGTACGCTGTCCAAATTAAAGTGATCTATTATGAAGTGTATTAAATGGACATTTGGGACTTGGCTGAAAATTTGTTTCTAAGATGAACTCAGTACAAGATCTAAATGGGGATGGAAGGAGCGAGTGAAATGGTGGCTTTATGCCATCTTTGCATTTTCATTGAACTGTAGCCTTCTCTAGTTAGCAAAAACAGGTTGCCAAGAGGTCAGACAGGAGCCAAACCTGCTGCAACTGATGCAGATGGAAGTGGTAGAATAGCAGGACAAACTACAAATGGGATCTGAAAGCACCTGCAACCATACATCACAAAATGCCCCGACTGATATCCTGGATTTTCTCACTGCTGCTTTTCTGAGACCACAAACAGATGACTTGGATTCTAAAATGTCTTAATTATCACCAAACTAACAGAAAACTACCTGCCCCTAAATCAGAAAATGTGTGTTGGATTCACTGCTCCACAGTCCTGTTCCTCAGAAAACTATTTTCTGTTTGAGGCGTTTCAGGTGAAAGACTGTAAATTGTTGTTGGGCCAGACCCCTAGCTCTTTGTTAGGTAAAGGCTCAAGAGTGCTTCTTATAAATAAACAATTTCATATGGGGACTTGTGATTATTAAATTAGTTTCCATTTATTCTTGTTAGAGTATCCTCCTGAGTGATGACTCCAGTGACACAGACTCACCAAGTGATGAGGATGGAGAGGAGGAAGAATTTTCTCTTTCAAGGGAGGAACTTCACAATATGCTGCGATTACACAAATATAAGAAACTGCATCAAAGTAAATATAGCAAAGACAAAGAGGTAAAAATCCAGAGTTTTTGTATTTTCTTGATTTTTATTCTTTCCTTTAACTGCATTATTTTAACTGCTCTTACATTTTTATCAAAAACCGTAATATTTTGTGGACTGGAAAATATCCTGTTGATTGGTAGACTAGAACAATCTAACATCAGTTTCAGACAAGGGTCATTTAATTGATTACATGCAGACTGAAAAGCTGTTGATGCCTTATGCTGATAATCTGTCCATAGTTCATGTGGCTAGTACTAGCACATGTGTTACATACGGCTTTCACAGTGCTCTGTCTCAGTCACTAGGGCAAATATAAGGTGCTAGAATGCAGGATTTGGATAATATATATGAAAACTGAGGTGCAGTAGGTTAACACAGGTAATAGTTGCTGTTCAAGACTAAAATTGTGTATTTAAACCTAAAGCAGTATGCTTGCATCATCATTGAGGTGATGAGTAGTGAGGTGATGTTTACCTTCTTGAAAGGGAGTTCCTAGTTTTCTTCCTTATTGTTTTCTGTCAGTCTTTGGGGGTTTACTTTCTTTGTTTTCTTTCCTACCTTTCATTTTATTTTGGGCTTTCTTCTTATGTTCTCTTTTTTCCTGTTTTATAAGAAAATAGTCTGCCGCATTTCTGTGGTTTTCTTAATATTAGGCCAAATTATATGACTGTTTTGATTCTAATAATATTTTTCTCCAAATTAATAAGGGCTTTTGCAGAAATTATTTTCATTGCTGTTTTGAATTGCACCAGTATGTTCTCTCACAAGAAGGAAGCAATCCTCTTCTGCTGTCAGAGGATCTGTCTGAATTTAAAATTTGTCATGTTTCATGTTCTTTAGAAATTTCTCCAGAGAAGTGAAGAAATATTTTTCCCACTCAGGTCTTTGCTTCTACCTACTTCTTTCCTTTGTTTACTTGTTAAGTTCTAAACTGAGATTGTGTTAGCTTCTTGAAACATTACAGAACTATATAAGTATTCATACACTCGGTTTTTACACAGGTCATAACGTTTGTTAGATTTTACACAAATATTTATTTCCAGACTACTAAGAAATAATATCCAGTGGAGATAACCAGGATATTGTCAGATCAGCAGTACAAAGTTATTGGGGGAGGGAACACTTCTGTGCAGAAAAGTTTATGCTGATGTTCTCACCTTTCAAAGATCTTTTATTAGCTTAATAGTATGCTTAGATTTTAAACAGTTTATTTCTCACCTGTGCTATCTTTAGTTTGCCTGTTTATACGTAACCTGTTAATATTTTTTTAGTATTTTAGTCGAGTAGTGCTTGGAATATACTGACTTTTTTGATAATTTGGGAAAAAATGCTGAGGCAGCTATATTCTTACTTGACAATCATGGAATCATAGAATGGTTTGGGTTGGAAAGGACCTTAAAGATCATCTAGTTCCAACCTCCCTGCCATGGGCAGGGACATCTTCCACTAGATCAGGTTGCTCAAATCCTCATCCAGCCTGGCCTTGAACACCTCCAGGGATATGGGGCATCCACAACTTCTCTGGACAACCTGTTCCAGTGCCTCACCACCCTCATATTAAATAATTTCTTCCTTAGATCTAGTTGAAATCGAACCTCTTTCAGATTAAAGCCATTGCCCCTTGTCCTGTCACTACATGCCCTTGCAAAAAGTCCTTCTCCATCTTTCCTGTGGGCCCCCTTTAGGTACTGGAAGGCTGCTATAAGATCTCCCTGGAGCCTTCTCTTCTCCAGGCTGAGCAACCTCAACTCTCTCAGCCTGTCTTCATAGCAAAGTTTTCAAGTTGTTTGCCTTTGTGAAAATCTTTAAAATACCTTTTGTCTGAACCCATCCTTTTACATCCTTTGGAATGGTAAACTAGAACACATAGGTAATTTGGGAATGCAGTCAAAACAAATAGGAGGTCCATGATTGGACCATTTCATGTAATGTGCTGTCTTTCTGGACAGCACCCATATGGAGAATATAGAGCGGTATGTTTTGAAAGTGTAAGCTTCACTGCGCACTCTTCCCATCTTTCTTAACTGGGTGGGCTTGGCTTCCTGTAGAGAACTTGGAGGCCACCTGTGGGAGCAGTGATTTCGCTTTGGACACTGTATGACCCTTGATAACAATGCTAAATATGGAGGAGTGCATGTTTTCTGATATTTATGATCAAGATCTGAACTTGTTTACTTGCTGTCTCTGTTACTGCTGTATCTGTTTTCCATTCCTGTGCTCATTTACATCCACTTCAGTTGCAGCAATATCAGTACTACAGTGCGGGACTGCTGTCTACACATGATCCTTACTATGAGCAGCAGCGCCACCTGCTAGGGCCCAAGAAAAAGAAGTTTAAAGAAGAGAAGAAATTAAAAGGTAGCGTCACTAATCTTGTGTTTCTAAATGGCTACTGTGATTAAACTTATTTCCTACATTATTTCCTTTGAATAAACATAAATGTTAAAAACTTTTGGATTTTGCATGGAAATATCCAGTTCTGTCACAGAAAAAAATCTTTAGAAAATACTGTGCTTTGTCTTCTGGCTTCTAGAAAGCTAGGGTGAAAAAAAAAAAAGGAGTATGAGTTGAGAGTTCATGCCTTTAGATTTTCTTTGTGGACCTCTGAATCTAGAATGAGAGAGTTATGCAGTAATTACCTTATAGCTTTATTCCTTGCTTTGGAATCCATAAATACTGTTGTGTATCATGATCCGTTTACACAGTTTTTTGAAAACATGATCATTCCTTGAAAAATGTAAGAACTTACCCAGAACCTCCTGCAGTTATTCCTGAACACGTAATTCTAGTGAACAAGAAATGATAAGGAGTGAGAGTGTCTTAGGGAAATTAGAGTGAACTCAGAATTGATGTTCAATGTGAGTTTAAATAGAATTACTCTGTAACCTCTCAGCTGGAGTTTCTCAAATGCATGTTTGCCAGGAAATACAGTTTCCTTTCTTGATTGAGCTGGCAGCAGCTGTAAATCTGTAAGGAAGCAGGAAGAGAAGTCTATGAACTGTCAGTGTAAGGTGAAGTCTCTTTAGTGCAAGTACTTAAGTTTGAGTTGCATTTTAAGGGAGCTATTTTGGGCTTCCTTCCTATCTTTCTGAAAGTTCCTTTAACTGTATATTTTTTTTTCTCCATTAATCTTCCAACATCCATGATTTTGCATACTCACAAAGAATATTTTTAATATCTGATATCAGTATCAATTTCCTCTGAAAGCTGGTATCTGTAATACATGGTAGCACGCCAGGCTCTTTCAACTGCTGAGAAGTTTGGTTTGAGATTTTCCTTACCATATGCTAATGTTGTTACTTTTAAATGTCTTACCTTTACATGTCTTTAAGTACAATTTTACCACAAAGCAAGAAACATTGCACCTGGTCCCAGATATTTTAACTCCTAAGGCATGTTTCCCTGGGTGGAAAAATTGCATTTCACCACTCTATTTATTAAACAGGTAAACCTTTCTATTATAAATTAATGAGGAAGTGTCTAATACAATAAATGAATGGTACCAGAATTGGCAAAAAGGGATAAGTTTGTCTTTTTTTTTGGTTCCACGCATAAATTGACTAGGATAATTTACTCAGGAAAGATGACCTGACTAAATGTATCCCAAAAATAGAGAAAGAAATTGATTTTTGTCATCATTGTTGCCTTGCAGGCAAGTTGAAAAAAGTAAAGAAAAAGAGGAGACGGGATGAAGAACTCTCTTCAGAGGAGTCACCACGACGCCACCATCACCAGACCAAAGTTTTTGCCAAGTTTTCTCATGATACACCACCACCTGGGTCCAAGAAAAAGCATTTGACTATTGAGCAACTTAATGCACGTCGACGGAAAGTTTGGCTTAGCATTGTTAAAAAGGAGTTGCCAAAGGTGAGCTTGGCTAATGGTACTAGATCAGTGATTATAGCAAGAAAGTGAAATAGAAAATTAGCTTAGTGGGAGTAGCTGACACTTAGGAAAGAGACAAGTAACGCCTGATTTTTCTGGTGGTCATTAATGACCAAACTGATACTCTGTTATCTATAAGCAAAGTGTGGCTTGCATTTCTTATCACCAGTGATATCTAAGTGGATCACACAGTGCTTTGCCACTGCTTCCATTTGGCTATCCAACTCTTTTCTATGAATAGTACAATAAACTGTAGCAGATACTCCTGCTAATCTACAGGATAGTAATGTAGAGCAAGCCAATATTTACGTTTTACATAAAGTTCAGGAAAGGAGTGTTTCAATCATTGTAGCTTGTGGGTTTTTTTGAAACTTATTTCAGAAACAGCCTAGGGGAAAAAGTATATAATTTACAGGATGAGCTTCAGGCATATTTGTAATAGAAAGCTGGGTTCACTGTCACTAGTTTTCTGAGATTTGATCAGAGTGGACCTTCCAACCTGCTTTTTTGGAGTTCACAGTTAACAGACCTGGAATTCTAGGAAGTTGAATATGAGTGATGGCTGTGTGATCCTTTAGGAACTTATAAGCCAGGCAAAGGATATGTGCAGTGTGATAGACCTCATTTTTTCAAAAGACTAATTTTGGTCATGTGAAGAACAGCATCTACGTTAATTCCTAACACCTTTGGGAAACTGGAAGTTTTTGTTGTTTACTTCAGTGATAACAGTGGAATAGGAGAACCCTGCTTTGCAATAGTGATAATTGAAGAAACGATCCTGAAAAAGGAGTTGTTTCACATGCTTCCTTCAGGAGTTGGAATGTATTTATGCACGCCTTCAATAATTGAGGTTGAAAAGCTGTTTCAGTCAAAATAAAAAATACTTACAGTACCCATACCCAACTATACGATAGTGTGCATGACTGAAATTGGCATATGTATCTGCTGAAGATTGGATAGTGATCTTCTAAAGTACTGTGAAGCCATTACCCTTTAACTAATTTTAAGATGGTATTCTTTTATAGGCGTACAAACAAAAAGCCTCAGCCCGCAACCTTTTCCTGACCAACAGCAAAAAGGTAAGTGTTGTTTAGTTTTATACTAGTGCTTGTACTGGATGTAATGAACAAACTGTCACCTCTTTATGTTTCTTCTGTTTCTTACAGTACTGACTATACTAGCAGGGCAGAATAGGAGAAAGCACTGTATAGAAGTAATTTGTCATTCAGTAGAAGGCTTTTCATTTTTAGGTGTGTCATTTTGGTGTGTTTTGTAAGCAACAGATAAAACGAGCAACATGAATTTCTTATTCATGAGATCTTTTTGGCTTTTGTAAGATTTAGTTTGTACATTTTTAATTTCCTGATCTTTGATAGAATAAATTAATGACTTCAGTACACTTTGTTGGCTTCTGAACTGCCCATCTATCCACTAGCTAGAATTTGCTGATTTAAGCATTCTTGTTTAAATCAGAGGGGCTCTTGGAATATTAAATGTGTTAATTTACACAAATATATAGGAGCCGAGATTAAAAATAGAACAATTTTCTGCTTAAGTGATTGCAAAAGGAATTTATCTCCTCATCAGGAGATGACGAGATTTATCTCATCTTGAGAGAGTCCAGTGCAGGGCCACAAAGATAATTAAGGGTGTGGAGCATCTCCCTTATGAGGAAAGGCTGAGGGAGCTGGGTCTCTTTAGCTTGGAGGAGACTGAGGGGGGACCTCATTAATGTTTATAAATATGTAAAGGGTGACTGTCATGAGGATGGAGCCAGGCTCTTCTTAGTGGCATCCAATGATAGGACAAGGGGAGATGGATATAAGCTGGGACATAGGAGGTTCCGCTTAAACATGAGGAAGAACTTCTTCCCAGTAAGGGTAACAGAACACTGGAACAGACTGCCCACAGAGGTTGTGGAGTCTCCTTCTCTGGAGATGTTCAAAAACCGCCTGGATGCGATCTTGTGTGATCTAATCTAGGTGGTCCTGCTCCGGCGGGGGGATTGGACTAGATGATCCTTTGAGGTCCCTTCCAATCCCTAACATTCTGTGATTCTGTGATCAGAGTCTTCTCTGAGAAGTGTCATTGTTTCTACCTAAAAGGCTTCACTTTAGGAACACTTGATTACTGGCTGAGTGTTGATTACCTTTTCATTAGTGTAACACTTGAAACAAGTATATGGCTGAGAATCATCAGAGACAAGATGATATAGGAAACTTTCCATTCTGTATATACATTGTCAAGAAAGGGAGCATTTTCTGTGTAAGGGATGCACAAAACAGGACCTGTCTGTATATGTTTAAGAAACTTTGCTGTAGGTAGGTTCTCTGCTATGGTCGTCCCTAGCTAGCAGAGACTGGATTTCTTTGTGACGTCTGGGCAAATAGCCTGTGATTATTGTGTTTGTAAGTATCACAAATTGCATTTTAGCAAGTGAGTTACGCAGCAGACTTAGAGGTTTTGAAATTCCACTTTTTTCCTTTGTTTTTGTTTTGTTTGATTGTTTGAAATCTGTGCATTGGAATTGTTGATGTGCAAATTTTAGTGGAGGGGAAAAAAAACCTGTCAGAAACATCAAACCCAGTAATTTTGACCGTTATGGCAATATTTATAATAGAACAAAAAATTACATTGTATTATGCTTCTTGAGAAGGTAGGAAAACCGTAGGATACTCCCCCACTTTTGAACGTGAGTGGGATTGTGTTCCCCCAATACTGCTATTGCAGCAGCCTTATTAAAACAGTGAGAAAAGAACCACAGAAAAGTGTCTAGAATAGGTGAGGCAGAGCTGTAGGCAGGCCTTGAACTCTTGTCTCCTGAGTCCATTTCAAGGACCTTCCCATCAGACCAAAGTACCATGCCATGCTGAAACCGTCTTCAGGTTTTATCTTCCCCACCATCTCAGGAGGTTTTTGGAAGTTCACGTTCTCTCATGCCATTTCAGGAGCATTACTGCTGAGTAAAGTATCACAGTTCTTTCTCTTCTGAAGGATCAGGCTTGGTTATAAATTTGATGTTCTTTATTGCTGGCTTTCTTTTACATCTGCCTGTTTTACCACTGTTTCCAAAACCTTGTGTCTCTCTAGCTTGCCCATCAGTGCATGAGGGAGGTACGTCGAGCTGCTATCCAGGCCCAGAAAAATTGTAAGGAAACTCTACCGCGGGCGCGTCGTCTTACCAAGGAGATGCTTCTCTATTGGAAAAAGTACGAAAAGGTGGAAAAAGAACATCGCAAACGAGCTGAGAAAGAGGCTCTGGAGCAACGCAAGCTGGATGAGGAGATGAGAGAGGTACAGCAAAAACAGATTGCTGATAATCTGTTCAGGAGATACAGAAGTGACTGGATGAGTTTCTAAATCCATGCCATGAAATTCAGTTACTTGTTCTGTTGCAGTAGTATTCCACATATTTCTTCTGCTATCTTAAAATTCCTTACATAACTCTTCTAACGTTAGCTAGAGGTGATAAAAAAAGTCTTTGAGCTGCGTAAATTCTTTACAAGCGAGTAGAATGGAGGAAGGGATTAGAGAAGCAGCGTGAATCTCACGGACATGCATAAGTCAGCCTTGATAAGGTGATGGTTTGTACATCATTCTGGGTCCAGAAGGCAAGCTACCTTTTCATTCACGTTCCATTTTCTTTTTCCTTCCTTTTTTCCCCTTGCAGTAAACTGGTACTGTAATTTATACATGGGGCACAGAATTTTTATCTGATGGCTTTTTTCTTGGCCAAGTGATAGCTTCACAAACTCCCTTGCAGAGTAACAGGGGTTGAATTTAAGAAAAATCTTCCTTGCCAAAGCTCTCTAGTGCATTTGCAGTTGTTACCTTACGTGTGTGGTGATGAGCTAAGGTTGAATCTTAAGAATACCTTATGTTTAGTTTTGTGCTTAAATTATGCTTTTATTTATTGTGTTCCTCTCATTCTTGCAAATTTGTAAGCATTTTGTGAAGGTTTCATCTGACCTAGATTGATAGACAACTTCTAAGTATAGCATTTTTTAACCAGAGCCTAAGAATGAACCGGGTTTCTGCAATGTCTTGTTGAACCCTGCACAGTGATAATATCTCAGCTGTGTTACCTAGTGATGTGTTTCACATATTGTACCATAATTCTCTTCACTAGTAAGTAACAGAATGTTGGAGTTAGCTTGTCATGAGAGTGGTTTTTTTTAACTGTTCAGTTCTTTTACTGTCAACCACTAAAATCCTGTTTATTTTTATCGCTCTTTTAATATTTCAGTGTAAACAAAAGTTTTAAACTTTTTATATTAGATTATGATTACTGAATTTAAAAGAACTTTTCATTTACAACAATTCTGTATTTTAGTACAGATGTTTACAATGGTGATCAGTGTTCTTATGTTGTCGTGGTTTAGGCCGACCCGGCAACTAAACTCCACACAGCTGCTCTCTCACTCCAGTAAAGTGAGAGAGGAGAAAGATATAATAAAAGGACTGAGGGTCAAGACAGGAACAGAGAAGGAGCACCCACCAACCATGGTCCTGGGCAAAACAGACTCGGGTTTCTTAAAGCAAAGCAATTTATTAACAATTACTTAAAAGGACAAAGGGAAACAAAACCAGTTACTTGAGAGGATAAAAAGAAACAAAGTCAAATCTTAAAAACCAACACCTTCCCCCTTTTCCTTTTCTTCCTGGCTCTACCTCCTTCCCCAGCGGCGCAGGGGGACAGGGAATGGGGGAGTGCAGGTCAGTTCATCCCATGTTGTTACTGCCGCTCCTTTTCTTAAAGGAGGAGGAGTCCTTACACCCTTTTCCCTTGCTCCATTGGATCCCTACTCACAAGGAAAAAAATCCACAGACTTCTCCAGAGTGAGTCCTACCCGCAGGATGCAATCCTTCCCAATCAGATTGCTCCAGTGCGGGCTTTACCACAGTCTCAGATTCTTAGGGAACTGTTACCACTCGCTCAGGTGTGGGTCGTCTGTGTCCCGCAGACTCTAGATGCGTGCCACGCTCTATGACCTCTCTCAGGCTCAGGCATGTCTTCTCCGGCGTGGGCTTCTCCACGGGCTGCAAGTGGGTCTCTGCTCCACTGAGTTCATCCTGGCTGCAGGGGGGCCGCTGCCGTCTCACCACTGGCTGCAGGGGAAACTCAGCTCTGGCACACCTCGTCCTATTCCATCTTCACTGACCCGGTGTCGTCGGTGTGGCCGACACCAACCGGCAGCTGCCTGACCGGGAGCCAGGGAGTGGGGCAGTGCCCTCCTTCCTTCTCTCCTCACCTCCGGGCAAAGCACCTTTTCTGCTTCCTTTGTCCCAACTTAAATAGGGCAATTCACAGAGGCGCCAATTGGCTCAACCCTGAGGGGGATGGGAGTCCGATCTGGTGGCCAGAGCTGGGTCTGACCCGGTTCCAAAACCAGGGAAGTCTCAGGGAGCAGCAAATCCCCTCTCCTGCCACCAGAACCCCTTTACATCAAACCATCACATATGTGCAACTAGTATTCTAGCATTTTGGTATCACAGTGATGTGCATAACATAATCTAGATAGATCAGTTGTTAATATATTATTAGATTAAAATTTTTTTCTTTAGTTATATTTTAAATATTTAACTTTTGTCCTGTTTTTTTTTTTCTCTTCATCTGTTTTTTCTCCCTTCATGCTCCTTTCTTAGGCTAAGAGACAGCAGCGAAAACTTAACTTCCTGATCACACAAACTGAATTATATGCCCATTTTATGAGTCGCAAACGAGATATTGGACATGATGGAATACAAGAGGAAATCCTACGCAAACTGGAAGATAGCTCTACCCAAAGGCAGATTGATATTGGTGGAGGAGTAGTGGTCAACATCACCCAAGACGACTATGGTAAGCAATTAATCTGCCATCCTTCCCGTGCACTCTTTTGAAATTTACCGTACTCTGCACCTTATCACGCAAACTTACAATTTCAAGCTCAAAATCCTTCTGTGTAAGAAGTACTACTGTAATTACTTGAATTTATCTGTGTGTTAATTTGAGTGGTTACTACTACAAGTCTCTAACGTAGAGATGTTGTTTTCAGATAGTAACTATTACAAGGCACAAGCTCTGAAGAACGCTGAGGATGCTTACCAGATTCATCAGGCTCGGGTATGTATTTTTTAGATCCATGGAGTAGAAGAGAAAGCAGAGTAACTGATAGAGGTCACAGAACCACGATCTGTCATAGCAGCCAAGTCAAGTAGGTTTGTTTAGTCCTGGATGCTGGGTTTCAGTTTAATTCCATTGCCACTTTCTGCACTAAACAGGTAAAAGAACAGAATATAAAGATTTGGGCTATAGGAACAGGCTTGTTTTCTCTTATTTTCTGGCAGACATCCTATGTCTTAATGTGAAACATAAAACCTGTTACTATACAGATTCTTGATAAGTTAGTATGTTCATCGTCTTATGCATACTTTTCTGTTCTGTTTAGACCAGATCATTTGATGAAGATGCAAAGGAGAGCCGGGCAGCTGCTTTACGGGCTGCTAACAAGTCCGGTACTGGCTTTGGAGAGAGCTACAGTTTAGCAAACCCATCTATCCGAGCAGGAGAAGATATTCCACAGCCTACCATATTCAATGGAAAACTGAAGGGTTACCAACTCAAAGGCATGAATTGGCTGGCCAACCTATATGAGCAGGTATCTTAGGACATCTTGCAAATTTTTAAAACTTCTAGGATTGTTTAAGTCATTTGAGTAAACTTGGTCAAAAAAAAAGTACTGGTTTTAAAAATAGACTGCGTATACTCAATCTGTAATGTCTTTAGAAGAAAGGAAAATGCTATGTAAGCCACATGTCAGTGTTCTTGGTTATTTAGGAAATAACTTTGGGGCATTAAGTTCAAGATTCTTTATGTGGATGTTTATGCAACTGTTTATCACTTAGATTACACACTGAGGAGACTTTTGCTGCTCAGAGCTGCATACAGCTTCAGGCTTGGGTCAGCTGGTAAACTGCAGGCAGCCTTGTGGTTGTGTGTGTATCCAGTGAGCGATGTGATTGTGAAGTGCAGACAGGCTGAGGGAGAAGATCAGACTGAGAAATGAATGAAAGTGCAGTTGAGATAAATTATCTCTTAGTAGAAGATGTAAGAGACGATAAGGTCTTTCAGAATTGTTACAGTGGGGCTGCTTCCCCTAAATTCAGTGGCAACTGTTCTGCTAGTCCTGTATGGATTAAAAAGTAGTAAGGTGGAGATGACACCTTCATTTATGAATCACTTACGGATCTTTTGCAGGGCATCAATGGAATCCTGGCAGATGAAATGGGTCTGGGTAAAACAGTACAAAGTATTGCTCTCCTTGCACATCTGGCTGAGGTAGGTGGATTATAGCTCATTCTTGGTCAATATGCTTGATGGAAGATGAATACTTCTCACATTTTGGAAATGAATTCTTGATTATAAAGCTTAAATGTTTCAAAAGGCATTTTACCCTTTGTTTTGAAGGGGAGCCTTTGAAATGGATGTGCATGTGGATGTATAAAGAAATAATATATATAATATATATTATATTGTTAAATAAATAAATAATATATATAAAAATAAAGTAGAATAGCATTTTTTTATTCGCAGAGTGATATGTTTTCACTTGCACTGAATATGAAAGCCTGATGAGAGAAGAAGTTGTACGCTTCATGGTTCACTGAGTTGTGCAAGTGAGAGAGACTTGTCGAAATGAAGCCTAAATTCTGAGTTTCATGACAATCAGTGTGGATTTCCATATTTCAGTGGGGTTTTTTTTAGGAAGCATAGTGATTCTTCTGTGCCAGGGCAGACAAACAAAACAGAAAAAGCAACAGGAGCCTACTTCTTCATGCACAAATAGATATCTGTTTTTGTTTTTTTTTAATTTTAAAAAAGCCTTGATTGGCATCCAGTCACTTACCTTAAATAGGGCATATGAACCAAGTAATACTGAGAGCAGAATTAGCTGCAGTATAATGACAATTAAGTGCGTGCGTTTGTGTTCCTTTTGCTACCAGTTCACTGGTACTATCAGCTATATTACTGGAAGGGTGTGCAGAGCTAAAGGCTCTTGACCTCATCTATATGGAGGGGATAACAGATAGACTTGTCTCCCTATTGCACTGTAACTTGAGATTTTTGGAAGCCTACACAGGGCTTTTACTTCTTCTGGCTCTCCCTTATGCAGGCTGGCTCGTAACTATCAATACACTGATGGCTCAACTTTATTGTTCACCAGAGGGCATTCTAACATGATGTGATGGAGCAAAGCTTTCCAATGCCACCTGAAGTTCTTTTGCTCCCCAAAATGACAGGCTGTTAGTAATGTGAAGGTGACAACTTTTGGAAACAAATGAGATTACTCTAGGATCAACTTTGCTGTTACGAAATAAGTCTTAGTTAAACATTAGATCTGCTCTGTTTGAGTCTGTATCACCCTGCTGTGCTGGAAGGAAGTTTTGCTGTGTTGCATATAGTTACCTCTCTTATTTAGGCACTGTCATTTAGTAGTTGTAAAGCTGTATCAAGCTGTCTCTCCTCAATTAATTTGTGGGTGTTTTTATTTTTTTATTTTAATGTGTGTATTCCAGAGAGAGAACATCTGGGGACCTTTTTTAATAATTTCACCTGCTTCTACTCTTAACAACTGGCACCAAGAGTTTGCCAGATTTGTACCTAAATTTAAGGTAATATGCATGTGCAAGGCAGTTGTTTCTGTTTTCTCAAAAGCAAACTGTTTTGTTCTCCTGAATTCTTTGCCACATCTATATGCTTAATTATCTTGGAATTTGAAACTGTGTAATGGACTTGATTCTGATATTTTTTTCCATCATCCTGTGTTTTCTGGAGCATTCAGTGATCTAGGGCTTAAAAATGTTCTTACTTTAATCACAGGATTTTCATTTTGCATCAGTTTAAAGACACCTTCTCAGTAAGGAATTGAAGTGAGGTAGGGAGTGGATGTTCACTTCTAATGTATGGGCCTGGCAGCAGATGCCAGAATAATATTTCAGTCTTACATACTGTATATATACTTATAACTTTAGAGTTAGAGCAGTGTTTTCAATCGTTCATATCAATTTGAGTAAGCTAAAGATTGTATGTGAGCAAAACTGAACTCTAAACAGATGAGAGGGAGAGAGAATGCAGTCGTTATTACAGAAAAATGAAGAACCGCAGACATAAAATCAGTAATCAAGTAAAAGGAGAGAAGCCAGACACAAATAGATAAGAACAAAAAGATTAGAAGAAAATAAATGGAGTTCTTAAGGTATGTTGTGAATGTGAAAACACAGTTAAGGTAGAAAGCAAGGAACAATCAGTTACTGTAAAACAAGCTGCTACCTGTTCTCCAGTGGAAAACATTGAAGTGTTGCAAAGGAAGATTTGAAAAGAACGTGTGCTGCAGAAACAGTGCTGAAGTTTTAGAATTAAAGATAGACAGAAGTGTCAGAAGCTTGCAGTTACATCTGCAAAGAGGAATGCATTATTATTTAAATATTCGAGTTGTTAACATAGTGACCTTTGATATGAAGAGGTCTTGGTTTTTTTTAAGCATCTGATTTGTTTGTTTGTTTTTTACAGAGAACAGTAAAAGACACCTAGTTATAAGTAACCAGTATATCAGTAACATTCAGGCTAATTATTTGAATGTCTTGGCTACTTAATAAGGTGGAAGAAAAGACTTGGAAGTATTACTATGAGTAATATTTGATTTCTTGATCTGGGATAGGGCAGTATTAAAGGACTTACCTTTTACTGACTAGCTCACTCTGCACATCCCTGATGAGACTATTTGTTGGTTATGGTGATGTGTAGTTTGAGTTATCTATAGCAGATGAAGAGAAGTTGCATTAGAACATAGTTCAATACTGGATGATTCAAGTGACTTTTATAAATTGGGATTGAGATTTCAGAGAAACTGATGAAGAAATAGAAATGCTTAAATTAGTGAGAAGTTACTTTAAAAAAAAAAAAGTAAAAGTAATCCATTTATGTATTTGCATGGCCCAAAATAATAGGGACCCTGATTAAAAATCCTGGAGTAGAGAACATTAGAGCAGTTGGCCATTCTACCTACCTACTTTCATGTCATTTAATCAGTTCGTTGTATAGAATAGGCGAGCAACTGTTTATGCTTTCTCCTTCTTGTGAATGAAATACAGAAAATGTTTCAAAAATGCAGTTAGGACCCCTGTGAAAAGATAATTTTCCGTTTTTGACTTAAAAAAAAAAATCTCTTTCTATCATTATTTAGCTGTTCTTTGGGTTTATTGCATAATAATGTTTACTTCGTTCATGGAACAGAACATGTTCTAAAAATAAGTTTTCTAAACTTATGATTGTCACATGTTTACAACTTTGATCAATCTTTTTCAACCATTTTTTTCCTACTTACTACACAGAGGTGTGTAGTCAGTTATGCTTGTAGTAAATCGCAGTGAATGCATTTCTTCAGGTCCATGGCAGAATACGTAAACTAAAAGGCAAATCACTTTTTGATTAGTCTGATTTTTTACTAGCATCCTTACTTCAGAACAGTTGGAAAAATATTCAGCTAAAGGCACTTTGAAATTTTGAGCTTGTCATTTAAAGGATGGAGATAAGACCTTTCACAACCTCAGAAACCAGCGTTCCTCACTTTGTCTTAGTTGAGTGTAGTCCTTTCATCAGACAGGAGATGGCAGTACGATATTATGAACCAGAGACTTTGGGTTCCGTGCACTGCAAAGTTCTGTTCTGGGTAATAGGGCCCGTGAAATTCTGAGCTATAAATGGATTAACAGATTTCTCTGACAGTAGTGCTTACTTTTTAAAATTCTTACATTAAATATGTACAGACCAGGTGTTTTGGGGGACAGTTCTGAAATACATAAAACCAACGGAAAAATGGGGAATGTAAAACAGGAGAACGAGCCCACTAGTCTTGTAGGGTTAACTGTAGCATTTGAGGGCAGACCTCTTTCTGCCATAAGCAAAATATCGTTTTTAATTTTTTGGAAAACCTCTCTGGAAGCTGTAACATGCTACTGGGCATTTTGGGATTCTCAGCATAGCTTGATCTAGTCTTTGTGCTAGGCATAAGTTACTTGATAACCTTTGCCTGGAATGCTCTGCTTCTAAGTATTTTTAAGTGCTTTCTGTTTTTTCTCTGTGTTAAGAAAGATAATTTCCTTTTCTGTTGTTCTGGACAAAGAGGTGTGTCTTTCTGATTTTGTAGAATACATGGTGTAAAGTTCTAGAGCAGATATGTCTTTGTTTGAAATTAATGTCTTTCTACTTTTGTGCTGTTCCAGGTGCTACCTTACTGGGGAAATCCCCACGATAGAAAGGTGATCAGGAAGTTCTGGAGTCAGGTAATACCAGCATGCCTGTCTGCTTTGACCGTCTTTGTTATTCGTGCAGAGTAAACCAGAAACTTGTTGCTACATGACACCAAGCTAAACAGTGTGTGGATACAGAGTTCTGTTTTTCATCCATGTAGTAGCATTTTCATTAAGATCACGAGGTAGAAGGCTTGTCTTGTTCTATAGAGTGGCACAATACAAAGCAATTCAGGGCAGTATGGAGTTCAGTTGAAGAAACTAGACCTCTGTAAATAAAGCAGGAAGTTTCAGTGTCAAGGACTGTTTATTCTGTTTGAGTAACCTAACTCAGGATGCCCAAGCCTAGCATCCCTGCAGGCCTGTCAGATTGTTCGTGATTTAACAACAGTATTTTGTAGGGTTCAATGCCTGGGTCTTGCCTGGCATATTAAGAAGCATCTGAAATTGTTCAGGGACTAATGGGCTGAAGTCCAGATCCACCAGTTGAATAACCATGCTGTAATTAATTTAAAAAGTCAGCTGGGGAAAAATGCAGTAATAATGAGAAAAGATTATGAAACAGAAGTCTGAAATTGCAATATGCACAAGTGAACTCTTCACAATGTATTTACGTTATGTGGACATTTGTTTCTTATTTTGTGATTACAGAAAACATTGTATACTCAGGATGCTCCTTTCCACGTGGTGATTACCAGTTATCAGCTAGTAGTGCAGGATGTGAAGTATTTCCAGCGAGTGAAGTGGCAATATATGGTGCTGGATGAAGCACAAGCACTGAAGAGTAGCTCCAGGTAATAAATTAGCTGGAAACAAAATCTTCCCTCTGTGTCAACCTCTTGAAGGAATATCAAGAAAACATGAAGATTATATAAACTGCTATGAGTTAAAGTTGACACACATAAGACCCTTTAAGTGTCTAACCTAGTTAAGAATCCGTATAATTCTCTGACACTGGATTGATCCACTAGTTTCTTGCATTTAGATTTTCCTTCTCCAAATATCTAAAATGTAATTAAAAAGTAAGTGCAATTAAAAAGTAAGTGTAGAACAGAAACTTGCATACAGGACAGTTAAACAAAACAGTGTGAAATGCTGTTCACCTTTCCTGACTATTCACGGAATTCTGCCTAGCGAATGGTCCGTAATCTTTAGCGTTTATTGCTTATATTGGCTCTGTTAAATGCATTATTTTGATTCCTTCTTCAGTGGCACTTCCAGACATGAATGAAGGTCAGAACCCTGTGAATACTGTTGGCTGCAGTAAAGCCCAATCTTTGTCGTAAGACTTTGTGCCAAAGTTTTCTGTTTGTTTTCAAGTAAAGGATTTGTCCATTTTTACTTCTGTAATTGCTTTCCCATAACCTTTGTCCAAGTTGCCACTGTACACAGTAAGTTGAAGACGGCTTTAGACACAAACTCATTCTGACCAAAGTCTGTCTGTTCAGCATTGTTTGGAAACTGCCCCTCTAAGAGGATTGTGATGTATAGCTCAGCACTCCTGCCACAGTAGCCCATACACTTTGTGTTGTAAAGTCTGAAAAATACATGACTTTCTGATATATAACAACTGTTTCTTTTAGGAAGTTAATTATTCTTATAATCAGATATTAGTATCAATGAACTTGTGTTAAAAATTTCTAAAAAGATACTTAGAAAAATAAAATAAATGATGCACGTGTATTTGTAATTTGTGAAAGGCTACTTCTTCCTGTAATTGTCTTTTCAAAGTCTGGGGAGTAGCTGTGATAGTTGAAAAAATCATTTGGGAAGGTCACTGGAAGCAGTTGGTCCTAAAATACCTTAAGTTTCATATCCTTCTACAAAAAAAAGTTTTAACCATTTTTCTTAATTTTTATTCATCAGTGTTCGTTGGAAGATCCTACTACAGTTCCAGTGTCGAAACAGATTGTTGTTGACTGGGACCCCAATCCAGAACACAATGGCTGAGGTATGCGGAAGCTCACAGGAGTGGACTTTTCTTTTAAACAATAATATGTACTAAATACATGTGAACAGTTGAGAAACCTGTTTTATTTGTGTGGTCGGGGGATCATGCTTGTAGCAAACCACTGACAAACAAACACAGAATCAGCTCTGGGAGGGAGAAATTTGGAAATATGCCACACGTTCAAATAAAAATAAAACTGAATATACCTGATGGTTCGTAATACCTAGATTACAGGATGAAATCTATTTCTTGTGGCTTTTCTTTCTGTTGGCTGATATTATTGTGCTATGTTACTCACTGCTTTCTAGTGGTGTTTTGTTGAGTTGATATATCTGGCATTTGTCGGGGGGCAGGAAGAGGATGTGGCTGGGTTTTTGTTCAATTTTGCCATGTCTCATGATCTAGTAAAGTGATTTTGCTCATTAAGAGCTGCAGAGGTTCGGGATCCCCAATTACCTTGTCCACAGTAGGGTGACTTGCTGGTCTGTTGTTCTCTCGTTTTAGCTGTGGGCTCTGCTGCATTTTATCATGCCAACGCTGTTTGATTCCCATGAAGAGTTCAATGAGTGGTTTTCGAAGGACATAGAGAGCCATGCAGAGAACAAATCTGCCATTGATGAGAGTGAGTGCAGTGTGAAACTGCAGTACTTCTTATATTAAAAAAATCTGTTGCATTTTCCAACTACTAATGGATAAACTTGTATCTCTCACTTATTGAATGAGAAATGTCAACTCAAACAGAGTGTGCATAATGGGATTAGAATATTGTGGATTGTTGTCCATAGTTTATGTCAGTTTGTGTTTCTGACTGTAAGGTAGCACATGTAATGAACAGAAAAATGTGTAGTGAAATGTTGATTTGCTTCTTTTCTCCAGTCCTCCTTCTTCCCAAACACAGGAGAACAAGCGTTTTGAGTATTTGTAAGTTTCTACAGAGCACATAATCTTGGAGATCTCCTGAGTGTGTTACAAGCTCTAGATATAAAAATTATGACACAAAGCACTAAAGACCTTTTGAGCTCCAGAAGAAAAACATAAATTTTTAATTGTTTTTTTTTTTTAAATCTTCACAGTAAATTTAAGGGGATAGTTATGTAGAAAAATCTAGCTAGGTAAAAAGCTGATTTGTAATTGAATGCAGGACAGTTGGAACTTGTCACGAAAGTAAAGATTTTAAGAGTTCTCAAAGCACGTCTTTAGATTCGTAAGTTAAAAACAGTGTAGCTCACGCTCATTTAAAAAAAGAAAAATCAACAGAGAAATAACTACTCTGTACTGTAAGAACTCAAATGGGGGGGATATGGCTAAGCAGTAAGGGACTTAATTTGTAGTAGAACACCATATAGTTTCCTTCTTTGGTGAAGTAATTGTTCCCTCTTCCCCATTCCCTGTATTTCAGACCAGCTATCCCGCTTGCACATGATCCTGAAGCCTTTCATGTTGAGAAGAATCAAGAAGGACGTGGAAAATGAGCTGTCAGATAAGGTGAGAAAAAGTATTTATCTGAAATGATTATTTCAACTTTATTGTCATAGCTCTGTTCTCTAATCTGGTTTTTGCAAACTCATTTGTCAGACTGCATACCTGAAAGGTGATTATAGACCTTTCACGGACCTTCAGTTTCTGGCACTGCGTCCCAGCAATCTCATTAGATGTGAATGTAACTGAACTTCTAATTAATAAACTTTTCTCCTAGGGAAAACATTTTGTTAACAGATACAAATAAAAACTCTTTAAGCCTGATTAAGTTGACAGAAGTACCACTAATTGAAGTGAAGGAGATTGATATAGCAGTGAGTGGGTGATAAACATCTACAGTTGCCTTTGTGAAGGATTTGGCATGGATTTAGGATTCTTTTTGGTTGCTTGTACAGAGCAAGAAGGGCATAATGGCAACATCACAGTCTTCTCTCCTGTTAGTCTCTTAATTTCATGTGGATGTTAGCAATATTGGATGGTCTTGCGATCTGCATGTCCCCAGGTTTTGGGACCACTGGCTAAAAGACATCTACTTTGTTTTGATGTGCTTATTAATTTCAAAACTAGAACTTCCCACAGCCAGTTATGTGATTCACTACTTGTTATCATGGGCTCCTGACATCTGTTTAAGATAGCTCTAAACAAGTAGCATTTTAACAGTAGGATAGTAGAATTGAGGTCAGATTTTAAGCTTATCAACTGCAGATGTGATGTTTTCAGAGCGTCTGAAGAATCTGTCTGTTTACTTAGTTGTGCTCACATACTTTTAAAGGTCTGTCTCCCACATCATTACCTAAGCCTGACAAAACACACCTATCTGTGAAGTCCTTCCCAGGTTGAATCCTGAAATCCAGATATGAATGTGACTGCCTATATATGTATTTTTTGAGAAAGTTATATTTTTTTTAAGATATGTTTCTCTCTGCTTTGCGTGTACTGATGTGGTCACCCTCCATTTCAGAGATAGAAAAGACTAAATCTTCATTACCATTTTGCAGATTGAAATTCTTATGTACTGCCAGCAGACAAGTCGACAGAAGCTGTTGTACCAAGCTCTGAAAAACAAAATCTCTATTGATGACCTCTTGCAGTCCTCAATGGGGACTACTCAGCAAGCACAGACCACCACTAGTAGTCTCATGAATCTAGTTATGCAGTTCAGGAAGGTAAGGCTATTTTAAATAATAGTTAATAAACTCACCTATAATCATTCATTAGCACAGAACTATAATATGGCTTGTAGAAAACACCATATAAAAAAATGTGTGGCATAGGCAAACAAATTTGCACACAGTTTAGTTGTGTTTCTGATGCAGTTTAGCATGATGTTGGGGTAGAAGAGCTTTAGCCAAATGGTGCATGCATCTGCTAACTGGTTTGGTTCCAAACTGGGCGTTGAAGGAAGTCATTCACTTGGGAAGAGGCAGCAATAACTGTTATGTGAATAGGAAAAGATATGATGCAGTATTCAAATTCAAATAGATACACTAAAGTAGCTGTGATATGCTAATCAATATTAAAGTTTCAGCGATCAATAGTTGTAGATGATTTGGGGTGTAAATGCTACATCGGACTAAATTAATTCCTCCCAGATTTTGACATGCTCTCTTTCTTAACAGGTGTGCAATCACCCAGAGCTGTTTGAGCGACAAGAAACTTGGTCTCCATTTCACATCTCCCTAAAGCCATACCATATTTCAAAGTTCATCTACCGTCATGGACAGATCAGGGTCTTTAACCACTCACGGGACAGGCAAGCCTACTCCGCTTCCTCTCCAGCTTAGCATATTTAGTATTATTGCTTAGACTTATTTTAGCTTTGTAAGTGCTAATTAACTCCCTTACCTGATGTACTTAAAGGACATTGGCCAAGTGTTACATTCCTAGTTTTCTTTCATTCATTCAACTGTTAAGCATCTGATATCTGATGCTCTTTCTTGGTGGAATCCTGATGATCAAATATCCCTTTAATTGAATAAGAAAGTCAGGAAAAGGAATTCAGAGTTTTTGCTGATGATGTGTGATAGAATTAAGCTTTAAAAGAATTAATGAAAAAAAAAAACAAACCCTGGTTTCCCTTCAGTGAGTTTTCATGTTTAAGGAAGCTGTCAGTATGTGTCTGTTGTGACATGGTATATTGTGAGCATCTACTAGTGCCTTGACAGCTTTTAATGCTTACCTCGGATGAATAGAAGCTGCCCAAGTGCAGTTTGCTGGTTTCTTTGACTGTGGCAATTCATGATTAATTCTGTCAGAGAAGAGAGTGCCATATTTGAGGATGAGACTGACTGTTCTACACCATAAGATGCAATTCCAGAAAAATGCTGTGTCTCAGTGTCAAATTAACAATTGTGCATATGGACTGGTGATGCTCTTCTCTTCCTGCCATGCAATTCCAGATATCGAGAATGCTGATAATAGCAATGAAGAACTGAATGGTTATTCTACATTTTCGCTGATTGTATGATTGACCATTGTATGTGTTAATACCTTCTTAGTGGTTTTGTTGCTTTCATTTTCAGGTGGTTACGGGTTTTACTTTCGCCGTTTGCACCAGACCACATCCAGCAGTCTCTCTTCCATAGGAAGGGTAGGTTGACAGTCCTGGGAAGCAAGTTAGGGTGCACACTTACATGTGGTGTTTTAATATGTCTTATTCAGGGGGAAGGACTGAGAGGCCAGATGAATTAGTCCTCTGAGATAATCTGATTAGAACTTGTTAGAATTTTGTTAGCATTTGTACTTGTACGTATATTTCCTTTGCTCAATGAGGAAAGGATGGAGGCAGCTGGAAGAATAATCTATGGACCGCTTTATTTAATTACTGCTTAATCGTACTGCAGTTTTTTGTTCCATTCCTCCTGTCTTTTTTTAACTTTCTTTGAGGAGTTAGTGCTACCTTTTTAGTCTAATGTGAATTTTTCACAGATTCAATTCAGAGAAAACTTTAGTACATTCTGTATTGTATGTTAAACCACCAACTTCTCTTTCAAGTAAAATGTAGATGAGATGCAAGTGACTCAGCATCTAATCAATGAGCAAAAAACCCACATAAGCTGCTTATATTTATATAATTTATAATAAT